GTGAAGTGTCTTGCCCAAGGACACAACGACCAGGACAGAGAGCCCAGGGATCGAACCGGCAACCTTCCGGTTACAAAATGAGAAAATAAAATGAAAATAAAACATAAATAATACAATTTCTTTATTCTATATTACATTTTACTTTAAATATTAAACTCTATCTTTTCAATAACCACACACTTTAGTTTTAAAAAATTATTTTCATATATTTGCCCAAATACACTATTCATAAAATAATTCACACTTATGCAAAGGTGCTGTATTCAATTCTTGTGAGTTAAGAAAAACTTTTATGACTATTTAATTAAAAATGATAAGAGGGCTGAACAGGACAACATGGCTAAGTGGCTATAATAAATGTATTTTTAGATTATCACATGTAGGTTATTGTACCTACTCTGTGTTCAGTCCACTTAAATGATCTTTATTAAACTGTTATGCTATATTTGTTTCAGTTCCTGCTGCTCTCTTGGCCAGATATCTCTTGAAAAACACATTTTGAGTCTAATGACACAGGCTCCCAGGCCTAATGTTTGAGAGCCCAGGTTCACTGTATTCTGCATAGGACCCGAGCTAAGACGGACGTGGCTCAGTTCTCAGCACAGAAAGGAATTTGCAGGAATACCAGAGGGGCCAAAACCAGCTGCTGGTAGAGCAATTGTTCAGACTTCAAGCCAATAGCAGACGTCACCATCAAGTGTGGGATCTACCAAGGTGCAGCTATACCAAGTGATAGCAACATCAGGAAGAAGGAACACCAGAAGCTGGAGAAGACTTAGAGAAGAGCTTGAAAACCCAACTCACAACAGACTGACATTAAACACAGTGTTGTGTACGTTCTGTTCTGCTTGCTACTTCCTGGTAGGAGGGACAACAAAACTCATTTATTTTTATTTTCCTTTATTCATTGCTTTAGCTTACTTGGCAGGCACCTCATTCTTATTAGCACAGAGATTTTCCAGATTAAGGAAAATCAACAGGATTGTAATAAAAATTCACACGAGAAAAAAAAGCACAAAATACACGTTTTCCTCACTTAAATGACAAAATGAAAAATGCACAGACTTCGTTTGAGTAAGGTAAAGCAGATGTATCGTCCCCGTTCCACAGGCCCATTTTGAACTTGTTCGAACTTGTGACCATCCTTTCTTTTACCATTTTATCGCTGTCTCTAACAAAGATTTTAAACACAAACCCTAAGTCTTTATGGGGGAATATGCTTAGCATAGCTCTATTGTGCATTTGTTTTAATTGTTTTTTTGTTTTATTTGTCAGAGTGTGGCGGTTTGTGGGGGGATTTTCCCACAGTGTGATAGAAAGTGTGCTGAGTTTACTATGAAACCACTGCTCCAAATATACAGATGTGAAACTGTGAGTTAAAATTGACCTTTTTAAAAAACAAAACCAAATCTGCCATCCACAGCTTAAATAACTCCAGCATCCTAAAACAGTCCAGTGCCAACCTGCTTCTGTCAACAACAAAAAGCCAAATTTGTGGCTCATTATCTGAAAATTTGAACTTGGTAATTCAAACTTTTCTGTTATTTTCTCAGTTTTGAGTTTTTTTTCTCAGATGTTTGAGTAAGTAAGTCAAAAAACTGAGATGATAAAATTAGATTTTAAGATAAGAGTTCTTCACACAGTCCAGCCGTTTCCTGGATTCTTTTATTCTTAGCAGGAACATTGCTTTTCCACCACCAGATGTTGCTCTCTCAACACCAAACAGTCATGTTCACCTTCTGAAACATCTGTTGTGACACCAGCTGGTGTCACCTTCATAATCTATGGTGACAAATAAAGGCCATGAGTCATTACACGCACCGTTCTGCTCCTTCAGGCTCTTTGCACCATCAAGCTGTTTCTACGTTTATCTCGTAGATGTCAAAGGTGACATCAAAGACCCAACAATTAGAAGGATGGCAGGTCTCAGTCAGTTTGTAGAGTCTAACAATGATTCAAGTATGTGATCTGAACTAGCTGGTGGAGTGCTACAGGTTACAGGCAAGTGTTAACCAATATGTAAGCTAATCTAAATTTGCAGTACGGTGTGAAGTTTTCGTGTTCAAGTCACTTCAATTTAATTTACACAGCGCCAAATCACAACAGCAGTCGCCTCAAGGCGCTTTATCTTGTGCAGATTTACACTAATGTGCAAAAGTCTTGAGCCACCCAATGTCTTTATATTTTGCTAATCTTTTTACAGTGCTCTTCAGCTTTCTGGAGAAGTTTTCTTTAGACAGTCTTTGGACCTGACTATCTTCACAGAAATGTTTGCCGTGAGTAACTG